TTTAATACATTACTTTTCAAAGAAAATACACATGGATCAATGGATGACAAAAATGTCACAAAAAAAATAGTAAAATTCAAATAATGTACTTAGATACAAATAAGTATCAAAATTAAGTACTCAATTGCCTAACATTTTTTTCTATGTACTTTTTTACAATTAAGTCTAATTTTGTGTACCGCCTTCCAATTGAATTTAATTTTTTAGGGCTTTTTTGTAGAGCTTAAAATTTAATGAATTTTTTTTTTTTTGTGGGCTAGTGATGTACCTAAAATTATGGGACATTTTTAAAATTTAAGGTTTAAAGTTCATGTTTTTTTTTTTTTGGTACAGTTGGGCCGGTCTTGGTCATTAACTATTTCTTCTTACGTGGAGTGATGTTGTTTAAATTTAATTTTTTTTAATAAACAGTAATCTCGTGAATAAAGGAATCTTGGTCAGATTATCCGATAATAGTTGATAAAAGGTGCACCTATAAAATCAACCTTCCCCCACCCACGTCAACAATACACTCGTTTTGAGTTTTTGTTCCCATGCCATCATTACAATTTCAAAATGTTGTCCCAGTTAGGGAGTTAAACCGTTATATTTTGTTTGCTACGGTAAAAAAATATAAGAATGAAAAATTTTAAAAATAAATAAAATATTATGTTTAGTAAAAAAAAATAGAAAAGACAAAAAAAATTGATGAATTAGTTTTTTTTTCAACTCACCAAAATTAATTTCTCCAAAATTAGGAGAAAAGTGGATGAAAAATAATTATTTGTGTTAAAAATGTACATTATTTGTCTATATATCATACTTATCAATTACATATTATGTATTTATATTTTTTTATCTTTTTATTTTTCGTTAATATCAAACATTAAAAAAGTTAATCATTTCTATTTTTCATTCACTCTATCAAATACAAATGAAGAAAAATGTATTATTCATATTTTCTTTCATTGGAGAATAGAAAGTGTATCAATTATATTTTTCATCTCTCCTACTTTCCATCATTTTTACCAAACAAAGCTTACTCTTTTTACAAATATTAAAATCTAATGGTCAATTTGGTAGGAGGAATGAAAAAGTATGAGAAAAAGATTTTCCATCATTGGAGGAAGGAAATACAGTTTTTTCTCCTTTTTGTTTGGTAAAATGGATGAAAAGTTGAAGGAATTATTTTTTCGTTGTTTGGTATTGGATAAAAAATGAAAGGAAAGAATACATGCACAAAATTAATTTACTATTATACCCTCACACAAAAAACAATAAAAATTTAAAATTGTCCAAAGAGAGATGTATTTTATTTTGGACAACCAAATGACATGTGGAGTTCTAATAATGACATCATTTTACATACATTTATTCCTTTTTACTTTTTTTTTCCAACTATCTCAATGTTTAAGGGCATCTCTAACTTTTAATCAAATTTAGACTTAAATTTAAATTTGAGTAAAAAAATTTGTTCCGACCTTTGACTCAAATTTATACCAAATTAAAAAAAATTCATTTTTTTACTCAAATCAAGGGAGATTTAAATATTTATTCAAATTTTTAATGATGAGATTTCACAATTTTTTAAAGATTCAATGGTCATCCTTACTCCTTTTTAAATTTGAGTTTGTCCTCATTTAAATTTGAGTCTCTCCTTTAAATTTGACTTTGTCCATTGGAGTCATTTATATCAAATCAAATTTTTTACTCAAATATTAATTTAAATTTAAGTAAAAAAATTGAGTCAGAGTTGGAGATGCATTACACACAAAAATGTTTTCAAAAAATAAAAAAATTCCCAACCCATGTCATTGTCTGGCGTGTGGCTGTTTTTTATCTCAGTTTTCAATCATAATTTGGGTCTTTTGGATGTATTTGGACAAACACAAAAAAGTTTGGAAGGGCATAGAAGTAAATTAACGTAGCAGCACTCTAGTGGTCCTTTTCTCTCTCCACTTTTCCCCCAAAACCGAGAGGATGGATTACATATCCATCCATTTTTTCATTCCACCTGATTTTCCATTCAAACCAAGTTGTTTCCTTTCCTCCTATTCTCCACTCACTTTTTATCATCCACTCCATTTTCCCTCGTACTAAACAGAGTGTAAAAATTCAACAGCGAAATTTGATACTATGCGATGAACCTATTCAAAAATCTTTAAAGAAAAAAAAAGGATGTAAAGAAAAGGCATCATCTTAAATAAAAAAGTTAGAGTCGAATAACATGTAATTCTAAACTTAAAATAATATAATTTGAATATTATACAACATGACTCAATTAATATAACTAATTTAGAGGAATATTAATACAGCTGAAACCCTTTAGGCACCCTATAGATAAAATTGGGTAGTTGATGGCCCTCGGGTTTTATCCTTATTAGGGAGGTCCTTCCCTTATTGTCTATTTTTTCTGTTAATTAGTTAATAATTTTTTGATTAGTACTCCATTAATATTAATAAATTTGAGTTGGGTAGTATTTTTTTTAATTAAAAATTAGCTAAAAATGAAAAGAAATGTAGTTATGATATGCCATATAATTTCTTCCACACTAGTATCCATCGACAGAGAAGTTCATCTTCTTTACTAAACCATATCAAAATGAAGATAGATATCAATAGGGTTAAGTTACAACTCCTAATGAGATAGATTTAGGATCAATCCTAAATTGTTTTGAATTAATTAGGTTGTAAATTTTTTTTGGAAAATTTTGAATTGTACAACAGATTTTCCTTAAATATATATTAGAGAAAAAAGACATTAAGCCTACTCTAAATTTGATAGGATAGTTTTAATCACTCAGACTCTCTGATATTGGAAATATTATACACAAACCTTCTGAAGATAAAATATCAAATATTTTAAATTTTACAATCAAAATTCATATTATATTGCATCATTTATTAAAATAAAATCAAAAATAAAATTTTAATTTTTTCTTAAAAAATCGTAATTAGTATATAATTATATTATCTATTGGAATAAAATTAAAAAAATCAAACAAGGGGTCTAAGTCATTCATAATATAAAATGAATTTTACAACAAAAATTCATATTCTATTATATCATTTATTGAAATAAAATTAAACGAAAAATTTCTTAAAAAATCATAATTGATATACAATTATACTGTATATTAAAATAAAATTAAAAAAATTAAATAAAGGGTCAAACTGTAATGAACATAATATCTTCTAACTTTAATTGGAGTAATTTGGTAGTTAAATTCTAATGGATAGTATAATTGTATATTAATTATAATTTTTTTCTTTAAAAAAATTAGATTTTTATTTTTGATTTTATTTCAATAAATAATACAATAGAACATGAATTTTGATCGTAAAGTTTAAAATTTTTTATATTTATCTTTGATTAAAGTTTTTGTGGTCTAAGTATAATATTTTAAACTTGAGGAGTTTAAATATTATATGCCTACAAATTTTAGAGGGTCTAAATATAATTTACTAAGGGATATACTAAAAACATTCACGACAGGGTTTAAATGTTATGCGTGTATAAATTTCAAAGGGTATGTATATAATATTTAAAATATCAGAGATCTAAGTGATTAAGTGACAAAATTTCAGTNAAAATCAAACAAGGGGTCTAAGTCATTCATAATATAAAATGAATTTTACAACAAAAATTCATATTCTATTATATCATTTATTGAAATAAAATTAAACGAAAAATTTCTTAAAAATTCATAATTGATATACAATTATACTGTATATTAAAATAAAATTAAAAAAAATTAAATAAGGGGTCAAACTGTCATGAACATAATATCTTCTAACTTTAATTGGAGTAATTTGGTAGTTAAATTCTAATGGATAGTATAATTGTATATTAATTATAATTTTTTTCTTTAAAAAAATTAGATTTTTATTTTTGATTTTATTTCAATAAATAATACAATAGAACATGAATTTTGATCGTAAAGTTTAAAATTTTTTATATTTATCTTTGATTAAAGTTTTTGTGGTCTAAGTATAATATTTTAAACTTGAGGAGTTTAAATATTATATGTCTACAAATTTTAGAGGGTCTAAATATAATTTATTAACGGATATATTAAAAACATTCATGACAGGGATTTAAGTGTTATGCGTGTATAAATTTTAAAGGGTATGTATATAATATTTAAAATATCAGAGATCTAAGTGATTAAGTGACAAAATTTCACTAGGTCCCGGTGTAATTCTGCTTTTTTATATTTGACATTTGATAAAATCACATTATAATTTTGTCAGGACAGTTGTATTGACTTCTATTTTCACTTTTTTATGTTATTAGCCTCACATCAAATTTGATAAGAAATTGTCTAATTTTATTCTTAGAATTATGTAATTTGGTTTCACTTCATCTTGACACGTGGATATTTCTCGTTCAAAAGTTAGCACAAGTTTACTTTTGAGGTGGTGTAAAACTAATTCAAATAGTTAAAAAAAAATTGAATAATTTAAAGGGTAAAGTGAGATCAAGGTGATAGTTAAAAGGGTCAAATTGTAATTTAGCTAACCATTGGTCTACCGCTTTAATATCATGTGGACTTGCCAATCAACCGTATTCATGGGAAGGAAGGTAGTTTTGATGGAAATCTCTTTGTTTTATAAAGAAGTACACCGACCGTAAACTGACTAAAACCAGGTAGTACGGAGAGAGAGGAGGAAGGTGGAAGAGGAGACCATGGTGGGTCAGAGACAGACGTCGTGATCCATGTGCACACATGGCTGGTCTATTGAGAAAGCAGAGATGTTCTATTCCGAAAAAGAAGAGATGTTAATATCAGATAGAGAAAACACAATCACAGAAAGCCGAAAAGCCCACACAGAGTCACACTCCACATAAACAAGTATAAATTAACTCCCAACACTGTGGTTGTTGATCTTGCCCCATTCATCTTCATCAACATTTTTCGATAACATTGTCTCTTGCTTCTTTGTTTGTGTGTATAGATACAGGTTTATAGAGAGAGAAGAGTTGGGCTAGCTGGTGCGGGTTTCTGGGGAGGGGGGAAATGGAGGGAAATGGTGGGGATGGTGGGTTTGTGCGAGCAGACCAGATAGATCTGAAGAGCTTGGACGAGCAGCTTCAGAGGCATCTCAGCAGAGCATGGACTGTGGAGAAAAAGAAACAAGAACAACAAGAAGAGCAACAGGTGAGGCAAGAGTGGGAAATCGACCCCTCAAAGCTAATCATCAAGAGCGTCATTGCTCGCGGCACCTTCGGCACTGTTCATCGTGGCATCTACGATGGCCAAGACGTCGCAGGTTTCTCTCTCTCTCTCTCTCTCTATATATATATATATATATATATATACACACACACACACACACACGCAGAGATCGAATATTTTTTAGGGTTCTTCCGGTCTTATCGTGGTTCTTTTTTTTTTTCTGTCTTCTTATCTTGGTTCTTACAATACCCATTTCTCAACGATGCACTTCTATTTGTGAATCAATGTATCCACATATGTATGTGTATTGTTCATTGGCTTTATTTGAGATTTATGCTATTAGGGATTTCCTTTTTTTAAGAGGAGGGTCTTGTAATGTTTGATGGAGCTAAATTCTCAGAGTCTTGTTATTCGGAATTTCCTGAGTAATAGTTGAATTTTTTGTGCTTTGGGAGTTTTTTTGTTTTTTAAGCTGTCACTGCATCAGTGTACCAAGAATTCTAATGCTCTGGTCTCACACACCGCTTTGTGTTTCTTTCTCTCTGCAATATTTGATTTCTTAGCAGATAGAGTGGGCCTTGTAAAAGCAGCATCAAACAATCCGTGAGGTCACGGGATTGATCTGAATAAAGTAGACTCTGGACCTGTGGTGACTGTTAACAATAGTTATTGCACCAAAATTATCCANCCGTGAGGTCACGGGATTGATCTGAATAAAGTAGACTCTGGACCTGTGGTGACTGTTGACAATAGTTATTGCACCAAAATTATCCATCCCTGAACTTTCAGCTGTCCAATTAATTGTAAATTTACTTTTTTTTTTTTTTTGGGATGTCACATTTATGTGAATGAAAAGTTGTACCGTGAAAGTAAGGGTTCCGTCTTGAGGTTAGATATTGATATGGATTTNTTTTTTTTTTTTTTTTGGGATGTCACATTTATGTGAATGAAAAGTTGTACCGTGAAAGTAAGGGTTCCGTCTTGAGGTTAGATGTTGATATGGAATTGCTAGATATATGGATGCCAGTAAAATATCCAAATAAAGAACAGAGCAAAATTTGTATGTAACATGAATCCTACAATTTATACAGAGTCAAACTGATATGTGCTGAAATATGTAGTTAGATGAGGATCATTATAGAACTTATTGGACCAACTTCTTTTTTTGTGATTGATTTATTAGACAATTGAATTGGAGTTTCTTATCATCCCTTTAATCTGTTGTATCAATGTTTTCAAAGTTTATGCATGATTTTTATTTAAGACTTTATTGACTGTAAGTTTTTTACCTTTTTCCATCATCAGTTAAACTTCTTGATTGGGGGGAAGAAGGCCACAGGGCAGAGGCTGAAATAGCTTCACTTAGAGCAGCTTTTGCTCTAGAAGTTGCTGTGTGGCATAAGCTTGATCATCCTAATGTCACTAAGGTAGCATCTTATATCTGCACTCCTTTCGTTTTCATATTATCCATTGTGCAGTGAAATAAAAAGCTCGAAATAATTTTTCGGTGGCCATTTTCTCGTCATAGGATAAATTTTGTTTGAGTCAATATTCCACCATAGTCTCCTGATCTGAATTTGGTTTCCAATTGTAGTTTTCAAATTGCAAGTATATATAACTTGCTGACTTTTGCAGCATTGGAAATCTGAAACTTGGATAAACTTGTCAAGAGAAAAGGGAAATGAGGCTTGTGATTGTGCATTTCAACATTGGCAAAGTAGAAATTTAGTAATGTTTTAAGAATATACTGATACAACTTAATCATCTCCTCTAATACCCCTAGATTTTTGTAGGTCCACAGTTTTGGTAAAGGTGTAATTGTTGTCCAATGTTTACTTCAGATCTATTAGTTTGAAAAAGGCTACTTCTTTTAAGAACAAAAACATACTTTTGTGAGGACGATCTCCCATTGCCACACCTTTCAAGAATACCCCACATTGAAATGGAACAGATGAATTTCAGTGCAAAGGGGGGAGTTGATTAGACAAAATAAACTGTCACATGGGTGTCTGTGCACTTGATACTTACCTGTGATTTGCCCTCAAGTTTTTAATTCTTAATTCCTTTTGCAGTTTGTAGGTGCTACAGTAGGCACATCAGAGCTAAATATACAGACTGATAATGGTCATGTTGGCATGCCGCGTAATGTTTGTTGCGTTGTTGTCGAATATCTTCCTGGGGGTGCACTGAAATCTTTCCTCATAAAAAACCGGAGAAGGAAGCTGGCTTTCAAAGTTGTTGTCCAACTAGCACTAGATCTTGCTAGAGGGTGAAATCCACAGACCCAATTTTTTTTGTTACCTTTGACTTCTTTATGGACATTATTGTTATTGATAGTACTGTTTAGCACTTCAACTTGATCCATAACTTGGATTTCTTGTAGTTTCTCTTTAGAACTTGGCACTTAAAGCTTTTCTTCTCATTTCTTGCCAGGTTGAACTATCTTCATTCTCAGAAGATTGTCCACAGAGATGTGAAGACAGAAAACATGCTACTAGACAAGATGCGTACTGTAAAAATAGCCGACTTTGGGGTTGCTCGTGTTGAGGCTTCGAATCCTCATGACATGACTGGTGAGACTGGAACCCTTGGTTACATGGCACCAGAGGTATCCTCTAGATTTTCCATCATTGAACTGTGTGTGTGTATTTGTGCTTCCCTCTTGCCCCTCTATCATAACTTATCTGACTACTTATNTGGTTACATGGCACCAGAGGTATCCTCTAGATTTTCCATCATTGAACTGTGTGTGTATGTGTGCTTCCCTCTTGCCCCTCTATCATAACTTATCTGACTACTTTTATATTATTGCCATGGTGGATGAGACAGGTTCTTAATGGCAACCCATATAACAGGAAATGCGATGTATATAGTTTTGGCATTTGCCTGTGGGAGATATACTGCTGTGATATGCCTTATCCAGATCTTAGCTTCTCGGAAGTGACATCAGCTGTTGTCCGCCAGGTAAAAAAACCTTTTCATGATATAGACATAGGCATTGAAATGCATTTTAGCTGCCGAAATATATATAGCGATCAGCCACACTTTTATGCATTCGTGACCTAAATTATTGACACACATAATAATAATGTTTGTTGTTTTGTATGTTTCAATTACCTGTGCAATGTAAGATTGTGGTTCTTCCCCTTTGACAAAGGTAATTGTAGTCATTGAAATTTTAATTTGAAAGACTCATCTACTCTTTTATTGGACTACAGAATCTGAGGCCAGAAATACCTCGATGTTGCCCAAGCTCTCTTGCCAATGTAATGAAGCGGTGCTGGGATGCAAGCCCTGACAAGCGGCCTGAGATGGAAGAGGTGGTGTCCATGTTGGAGGCCATTGACACATCAAAGGGCGGAGGGATGATCCCTCTTGATCAGCCTCAAGGTTGTTTTTGCCTCCGCAGGTACCGAGGGCCTTGAAAGAATTACTTGCAAGGTAGGGCCACTATGTGTGAAATTTGAGCCCGAAGTTGTCTTTAATATGAGGTCCAACAGATGATCAAAGAAGAAAGGGGGTCCAACGGAAAAAGAATGGTGAGAGTTAGAACCTTGGAGTTCTAGGATGCATTTCAACTAGTATTATGTTGTTATTGGAGTGCGATCTGGCCAGTTTTTGGAATTAATAGAGAGCTTTTTCTGATGTGCAATACTCTTACTACGGTCGAAATATTTGTTTTTCAAAACAGGAAATGTCCGTCAACAAGGTATATTGTTCTTAGTCATTCAGTTTTAACCCTGAGGTTGCTCAAATGATAATAGGAACAAATTAGTAGTTTAAATGATAATAGGGATAAGTTGTAAATTTAANAAAACAGGAAATGTCCGTCAACAAGGTATATTGTTCTTAGTCATTCAGTTTTAACCGAGGTTGCTCAAATGATAATAGGAACAAATTAGTAGTTTAAATGATAATAGGGATAAGTTGTAAATTTGAATGTACTGAGTTTGAATTTTAGTAACTCCTTAGACCAGACTATAAGTGGTTTATTTTTTATAAATATCCTAGTTTTGATGTGGGTGGTGATTTATTTTTTCATAAACATCTTAGTTCCGATGTGGGTGGTTTGCTTTTGACCGGATTAAAGAGGAGATTAATTGCGGTGAGTGTAAGTTGATGTGAACCCTAAACTAAAAAAAAAATTGAGGTTATTCATAGTATTGGGTACTCGTTTGTTTTTACCCTTGCCTAAATTAAGTGAGTTTACAAGAAAATTTGATTCGTGTCGTCTCGTTTTTATATTTTATTCTTTTGGACACCGGAAATTTTTANCATCTTAGTTCCGATGTGGGTGGTTTGCTTTTGACCGGATTAAAGAGGAGATTAATCGCGGTGAGTGTAAGTTGATGTGAACCCTAAACTAAAAAAAAAATTGAGGTTATTCATAGTATTGGGTACTAGTTTGTTTTTACCCTTGCCTAAATTAAGTGAGTTTACAAGAAAATTTGATTCATGTCGTCTCGTTTTTATATTTTATTCTTTTGGACACCGGAAATTTTGATGTTTTCACTGCAGTGGTATGTACAAATCAGGCATACGATGAACAGATTGAAAAATAGTGCTAGGAGACACAACTATTCACGGTGGACAAAACCTTTGGCTGAGTCTTCATGCACAACCGCTACCGATGTGAATACATTGATTCAACACAAGAATGGTTATGTATTACATTCAATTTCAGTGTCAGCTGTTTGAATTGATAACATTCTTCAATTAATCCGAAAAGCGCACAGTGAGAACTCTCAAAATAGAACAATTCAGAATCATCAGAGAAAACTAAACAGGCTGTCCTTCCGACCGATAGATTTCTCAGAAACTTTCGAAGCAGACTCAATTTCTTTAGTTTAATACCAAAATGAGGACATCTAGCCAGCAATCTTGTAGCTCGGGTTGACAAGATTATCCAAGCCAGATACCACTTGCATTGACTCTATGACATCTCCAACCTTGAGATCTGCAAGGTAGTCCTGGTTTTCCGTCACAAATCCGAACACTGCATACCGACCGTCCAATATATTGGCATTACTAGGAGTGAGTTCACTTTCTTTCAATAGCCAAAAGACCTGACTTGATGCAGAATTGTTCTCAAACTCCTGTTGTTGATTACAAATTAGATGGTTAAGAAAAAAACTCAGTAGCCTGTCTGTTAAGCCAATAAATCATAGTAAATAGTCAATGTACATAATTTCAGTAGCCTGGTTTAGAACTCTCACATCTCGGGCCATGGCCATTGTTCCGAATGCATTAAATGGAAGCTTTGTTTGAGCCTTGTATAGACCAAGCTCCNAAATTTTGTTTGAGTCAATATTCCACCATAGTCTCCTGATCTGAATTTGGTTTCCAATTGGAGTTTTCAAATTGCAAAGTATATATAACTTGCTGACTTTTGCAGCATTGGAAATCTGAAACTTGGATAAACTTGTCAGAGAAAAGGGAAACGAGGCTTGTGATTGTGCATNCTCATATTATCTATAAATTAGTACTCCTAATCCTGGTTTTATACAATTTATTTACCTCTCTGGATCTCCATTCCATCATAAAAATGCCTTTCTACAAGATCTATAAAATTTCCAGCGGTTACTGGGGCATTGTAACCATCCAGAACAATACGGAATGTGCACTCATCCAAGTTAGGGTTGTCCTTCACCTTGACCTTCATATCCACAGTTGCTCTTCCCTTCAGGAGAGGCATACTTTGATATTCTTCAGGCACTTCATAAGGGAAGCCATCCACCATGTCCTCTTCAACACTGCAGAAACCCAATGCCCCAGGAAGATTTCAGCTGCAGTCAATGACAAGAGTTTAAATGAGAATAGCATATTTTACTATGATTAACTTCCACAAGTTCTTCCCAGCTTTATGTTGAAAGAGTTCAGAAATTTAAAGCATTTTCATTCCCAATCCGCTCCCCATCATGACCAGAATTAACGTCCAAAACAAGCTCACTCTTTTTTTAGGATATTTTGCTATATAGAATATCTTGTTCAGGCACCAACACCCATTGTAACATTCATTTCCTTTTCAGGGAGCCATGATCCATACTTCAAATCATTTGTGGACACCAAAATCCATTTGAACCTTGTCACTCAAGAGCAATAAGAGATCAAGCATGATAATTACAGTTACAATATAGAATGGGAGTTTGAGTAATTGCAAATGTGTGATGATATTACCAAGCAAGATGATCATGTCGATCTATGTGGTCACTGAGCTGGACAAACCTCAATGATAGTCTTGCAGATTCTGCCCCATGGTTATCCTTGACTATATGTTGTAGGATAGAGCAGACCGGGCCAGCTTAATGTCAAACTATCCTTTGTTACCAGTTTGCATTGCAGTACCCAAAAGCTAAACATTTGACACAATCGTATGTATGCTCTGGAGGCATCCAATCCATGGTATAGAACCGTTGACATGTAGTTATTAGCATATCTCCACCCAACCCACCTACCCACAAAATTTTCCTGAAATGTATTCAAGAGAACATTTCAACCTTACCTAATTATTATTTCTTTGGAGCAGCAGTTATTGTATCTTTTTATACTTTCTCTTGGGTATCATATTCCACGGTCCGGTATAAAATACCTTCAAGAAAAGGTCTAACACAAATTTTTAGAGTATCGCAATTGATATCTAACCTACAGCGACATTTGATTGAAGCTTAGGATCAACATGTCAGACATACTGTCACAAGAATCAGTANTGTATCTTTTTATACTTTCTCTTGGGTATCATATTCCACGGTCCGGTATAAAATACCTTCAAGAAAAGGTCTAACACAAATTTTTAGAGTATCGCAATTGATATCTAATCTACAGCGACATTTGATTGAAGCTTAGGATCAACATGTCAGACATACTGTCACAAGAATCAGCATTATGTTTTTTTCCAGGAAAGTGAATTGACAGTTTCATTCACTCCAAGACCCAAATAATGATTATATACCCAACACACATTTCAGTCTTTCTTCAGATTTTAATTTCTTGGTAAGTGTTCTTTCCTTAGAATTTGTGCATGTCATTGTACCAATATGCACATAATTGAAGCAATAACGGATGCTTTTCGGTACTCACCCTCCGACATAATTAAGCAGCTCCTTCTGTTTAGGTGCAACTGCATCTCGATTCTTATCCTCCACAATTTGTTGAAGCTCATCCAACCCAGCCTCCAGCTTGTTGAGCAATTCGATCCCATGATCCACCTTTGATTTTGCCATTCCCGAGACAATCAAACTCCTCCCTTGTTTAACCGCACGAGAAGCCTGCCTCACATTCTACAACCCACAAACAAATAAATTTCAGATTGTCATTTTGATAGATCCCTTCAAACTATATGCACAAAACCCATCTCCATTAAAAAGTAAAGCTCCAAAAACAGTAAAAGAGAAAGTTTCTCACTCTCTCTACGGAATCAAGCGCCTTGAGACCTACAACCTTGAGACTGTCAGTGATATCCTCAAGTGGCTTTTGAACCTCCCTAATAGCTTTATTGTCAATGGGCAAAGCATTCCTCAACAAAGTTCCCGGATCCTTAATCGGCGGCCCAGAAATTAACACGGACAAATCGGGCAATACTGGAGGAGCATTTGCAGCATTGGAATAATTAGGCCAACCCAATGTTGGTACTCCAGCTATTAACCCCACCGCCAATGCCATAGAAATCGCACATTCTTTTAACGAAAAGATCCAATCTTTCTGGCCACACTATATAGACATTACAACATACCCAGATCACTACAGTTGAAATTCTATAGTTTTTAATCAACCTAAAACAGAAAACCAAACAATTGCACAGAAATTCCAATATATACATAATAACATTTATATAATTAACTTTAGAGTAAAGAGCTTGCCTGTTTATCACTAGGGGTCTGAACTCCGCGAGGGTCTTTGCAAGAACATTTTGGGCGGAATCGCCGATTATTCAGAGTATGAGCAAAGCTTATGAAATTGGTGGATAGTTTATTAGGGTTGATGGGTTTGGAGGCTTTAATAGGTTGTGGAGAGGAACAGTAGTTGTAGCGGCAGGAGATAATGGCAGCCATTGATGTTAGTTTTTAAAGAATCAACACCAGATTGGTGACATTAGGGTTTGGGATGAAATGCAGTGGAAAAGAAAAAGAACTGTATAGAAATAGATATAAAAATTACATAGAGAAGAGAGGGGATAAGGTTTTGTGAGGAAGCAAGAACGTACTGGAGTATCATGTTACGAAGTCATCCTCACGCTCTGGATAAGATAATACAACTGGGAGATTGCACACCCAAGAGGTGACCACCTGGCCTTGCCCAAGGGGAAGGTGGGTCAAGCTCAATTAAGGGTGTCAAGTCAACTATCACCCCTCAAGAACCTATCCGGCACGAGACGATTATTAAAGACATAAATTTTCATATGAACATAATATAAATAACAAGGACTCTCCTAAGCTCGACCCCTCTTTGAATAATAGATTAAGGGGGTTGTGAATAGAGANCAAGCTCAATTAAGGGTGTCAAGTCAACTATCACCCCTCAAGAACCTATCCGGCACGAGACGATTATTAAAGACATAAATTTTTTTCATAAATTTTCATATGAACATAATATAAATAACAAGGACTCTCCTAAGCTCGACCCCTCTTTGAATAATAGATTAAGGGGTTGTGAATAGAGAANCATAAATTTTCATATGAACATAATATAAATAACAAGGACTCTCCTAAGCTCGACCCCTCTTTGAATAATAGATTAAGGGGGTTGTGAATAGAGAAAAAAAAGATTAGGATTACAAAAAAATTGACTTGTTCATGAATAGTTGAAAGTCATTCGGGTTAAAATTGGGTAGAGTTTGATCATATATATATATACTAGTTATTATCTGTACCTGAAGATACAGAATAATAAAAAATGATAAACGATAAATATATTTGTATTCATATCCAAAATCAAATCATTAATATAGAGGAGAGATAAATGAATTTAAGTATGAGTTGTAATGGGGGTAAGAGGTGATGGACGACAGTGGTAGTGATAGGAAANGGAGAGATAAATGAATTTAAGTATGAGTTGTAATGGGGGTAAGAGGTGATGGACGATAGTGGTGGTGGTAGGAGACGATGATGGTTGTGGTGGTGGTGGGGAGTGGCAATGGTGATGTTGGTGGGGTGGTTGTGGCGGCGACGAAGACGGTTGTGGTTGTGGCGACGACGGTTGTAGTGGTGGTGACGGCCTGACGACGGTGGTGGNGTGGTGGTGGTGGGGAGTGGCAATGGTGATGTTGGTGGGGTGGTTGTGGCGGCGACGAAGACGGTTGTGGTTGTGGCGACGATGGTGGTAGTGGTGGTGACGGCGTGACGACGGTGGTGGTGGCAGNGAGTGGCAATGGTGATGTTGGTGGGGTGGTTGTGGCGGCGACGAAGACGGTTGTGGTTGTGGCGACGACGGTTGTAGTGGTGGTGACGGCCTGACGACGGTGGTGGTGGCAGTGGCAGTGGTGATAGTAGAGGTAGTGGTGAGACGGTTTTAAACACTATTTTTTTTTAAAAAGTACTTATGAGAAATAATTTTTAGAAGTACTTTTAAAAAGTCACTCCGAACACACCTTCAGGAGTCTATTTTTTCTATTAACTTTAGAGTGTTAATATTAGTCATTAGATTAACTTTAAAGTAAAATTTAAAGTGNTTTAAAAAGTACTTATGAGAAATAATTTTTAGAAGTACTTTTAAAAAGTCACTCCGAATACACCTTCAGGAGTCTATTTTTTCTATTAACTTTAGAGTGTTAATATTAGTCATTAGATTAACTTTAAAGTAAAATTTAAAGTGATCTCAAACGCGAATAACAAAAGTCATTTTGTTTATCTTTTGAAATTTGAATTGTAAATTATTTTATTATATAGATATATATATATTAGGAGTAATCGGTGCCTAAAGTCATGGTNTTGTTTATCTTTTGAAATTTGAATTGTAAATTATTTTATTATATAGATATATATATTAGGAGTAATCGGTGCCTAAAGTCATGATGCAATGTGAATTGTTTTGAGAGAGATGTTGTTGGCTATTTGATGAATCTATTTGAGACCGTCAGATGAATTTATTAAAGTTTGTTCTGTCTTATATTATAAATGTATAAGACTTGATCTTAAATATCAATCTAAATTCTAGTTCAATTTCAACTTTATTTTATTAATCAAACAAGCAAAGTCAAGTTTAATGGAAAAAACAAATTAATCGAGAGGGAATATGTTTGAATCCATTAAGGAGTTTAGTGGTCGNATGTTGTTGGCTATTTGATGAATCTATTTGAGACCGTCAGATGAATTTATTAAAGTTTGTCATGTCTTATATTATAAATGTATAAGACTTGATCTTAAATATCAATCTAAATTCTAGTTCAACTTCAACTTTATTTTATTAATCAAACAAGCAAAGTCAAGTTCAATGGAAAAAACAAATTAATCGAGAGGGAATATGTTTGAATCCATTAAGGAGTTTAGCGGTTGATTTGGATCCATTCATTTGCATTCTTAAGTGGTATAGGGTTGAGAACAAAATCAATAATAATTACAAAGAGGTGAACGACGAGATTACAACCCGAACCATTACAACTGGGATGCAATTTGATATATGTAGATTGGGAGTAACACACAATCTGGAAAGTCGCCCTGGATTAACAGGCTTCTCTTTTGTTATAGGGCCGGGCTTATGTCTGTATAGTATGTATTGCACTGCACTAGTCCCACTTATGGCTTATGCTTACACTTTTGACTCACGCTTGGTCTTGTCATCCACACCACACACACACACACACACACACAAATATATCTGAGTCATTGTTCCTCTTCAGGTGCTTTCTCCATTAAATAGCTTTTCCCATCCCCATTAGGCTTTTAAGAGCACCTTTCTCTAAAGCTCAACCCCCCCTCCCCCTAACTCGAATCCATTTTCAGTCAAAAGATGTCTCCATTTGGTATCTTACCTTAGCAAAGAAGAAATTGAACAAGAAAAACGGTTCTATCTCTTTTATTGTACAGCTCCTCTTCCCTAAGAAGCCACTAACCTTGACATTAAAGCCATTCAAGCTACATAAAGTCTATTGTGTATGTGTATTTGGAATTTGTAAGTTTTTGAGATGTAATTTTCTAGTGTCACTGTTATGATTTTGATGATGTACAAATCGGTTTTAAGCATTATCTGTTTAGTGATTAGTATGATTAATAAAATATAGTAAATATAATATAAAACTTAACACAAACAACACACAGAGATAGAGTAGTTCGATTAGAGTGACTTATACGACTTTAAAGGACTTTTACTAGCGGGTGTTTTGTTACTGTAGGAGTGTGGGGAGCTCAGGTGAAAGCAATGAGAACTTAGGTGAGTCAAGTCTGAAATAAGATGTAAGATGCCCCCCATGTATAGACAAAACTTATAATTTATAGGTGTCTTTTAACAAATTAAGGCACTACATCCGTAACAGATAGACTAATTTAGTAGAGGTGACACTATTATTACAACAAACATGATAGTTGTGTGGAGATTTCTTTATCAATTACAAACTGGGTCTCAGGATGACATGGCTGATTGTGCTCCCTTGACTCCGTAGTGAGTCGAGTTGGATTTTATATGGGTCGGGCCCATTGAACTTTGTCTAGGTTGAGCCTATTACTTGAACTGAATCTTGTTTGGGCTAGTCCTATTATTTGAGTTGGGCCTTTTTGGGCCAGGCCCATTACTAAAGCTGGGCCACACCTGAGGTGGATCCATCAAATTCAATTAAGTCCTACAACTCAAACTAATTTAAGACNCAAACAACACACAGAGATAGAGTAGTTCGATTAGAGTGACTTATACGACTTTAAAGAACTTTTACTAGCGGGTGTTTTGTTACTGTAGGAGTGTGGGGAGCTCAGGTGAAAGCAATGAGAACTTAGGTGAGTCAAGTGTGAAATAAGATGTAAGATGCCCCCCGTGTATAGACAAGACTTATAATTTATAGGTGTCTTTTAACAAATTAAGGCGCCACATCTGTAACAGATAGACTAATTTAATAGAGGTGACACTATTATTACAACAAACAGGATAGTTGTGTGGAGATCTCTTTATCAGTTACAAACTAGGTCTCAGGATGACATGGCTGATTGTGCTCCCTTGACACCGTGGTGAGTCGAGTTGGATTTTATATGGGTCGGGCCCATTGAACTTTGTTTAGGGTGAGCCTATTACTTGAACTGGATCTTGTTTGGGCTAGTCCTATTATTTGAGTTGGGCCTTTTTTGGGCCAGGCCTATTACTAAAGCTGGGCCACACCTGAGCTGGACCCATCAAATTCAATTAAGCCCTACAACTCAAACTAATTTAAGGCAATGTTTTTTTTTATATATTTCAAGAAAGTTGACTCATGTTTTAAAATAACCATTTGTATGAACATTATTTTGTAGCATTAATAAAAATAAACTTTGTTCTTATTTGTTTTCTTTTCTTCTCACCACTTAAAAAAAAGGAACAACTTTGATTCTAATCGCAAATGTTTGTGATTTAGAATAATACTACACAATTTAAATATAATTCAAAAAATTACAATTCAAATACATATCATCTCTTGACATCTAGCAATCCTTACCAGAAAGCATCATAATTATTTACTCTTTTTCTTTCTCTCATAATTTGGCCCCGGGATGCCAACTCATGCCGTAATACTTGTGCATTATTTTGTTTTGGATCGTATTTGAGTTAATATCTANGATTCTAATCGCAAATGTTTGTGATTTAGAATAATACTACACAATTTAAATATAATTCAAAAAATTACAATTCAAATACATATCATCTCTTGATATCTGACAATCCTTACCAGAAAGCATCATAATTATTTACTCTTTTTCTTTCCCTCATAATTTGGCCCCGGGATGTCAACTCATGCCGTAATACTTGTGCATTATTTTGTTTTGGATCGTATTTGAGTTAATATCTAAANTGTGATTCATACCTCCCTAGTGAATACTACCCTGGATGTGTTGCAACACCACTTGAAGGGATCCAATCAGAAGACGATGATGGTAGTGATGAGGGCCGGAGTTACTTCTCCGATGCATTTGTTGCAACGGAAGAGCAACACCGTGAGGAAGGAGAGACACTGGGCTGGTGGGTCTGGTCTTAAATTAGTAACCTGAATTTTATTGTGTCAAATATGGCTCACTGTCTTAAGAGTCCCCTTTGTAATTCCTATTTACTATTGTCTCTCTCTCTCTAAACTAAAAATCTCATAATGGTCCTGGTACGTTTCTTGGCAATTAATATGGAAACCGAATAAGGGTGGTAAATGGTCTGTCAGAATGGTCCTGTTGATGGGCAATGTTGGTGTATAAATTGCAGTGTTTTGGTCGACTATTTCACCTGGGCATTATTCATGTGTAAGACAGTCTCTCCCCAGATTGCGCATATTTAACTCTTTTTAAATTGCAATGACAAAAATCTCAAATATTGGGTACTATTATACATGTGTAATACATACAATAATTCTAAATANAGAGTTTTCACTTGACCGGAATAATCTATCTACATATATTACTTCATATATCGACGGTCACCCACATCGCCGGAGAGATCCGACAGACTGAAGTATGAATTCCAGCCATATTATCTTCGACCCATCGTGGCAAGGTAGCATGGTGTTCCTCGGAGATGGTGGTAACGTTTTTCGAGGTGATCCATTCTTATGCTTTGTACTTATTTATATATGACCAAAGAATTTTGTTTTCTTTCTTTCCCAAAACAAACAATTCAGGTCAACTATGGTGACATAGATGTACTACGTTTATTTAATCAAGGGTTCTTTTTTAAGTTCAGTGTTTCAAAACAGTCAATAATGTATCCTTAAGGTTGAATTGAGGGAAGAAGGTTGTTTTCCTGGTGAAACTTATAGGAGGAAGATCAGTGATGAATATGGAGGAAACCTCAAAGAGGAGACCTTTTTTCAGCTCGCCGGACGAACTGTTTGACGAAGAATATTACGATGAACAGTTGCCGGAAAAGAAGCGTCGTCTAACTCATGAGCAGGTCAGTGATGGACTTACCCACTTAACACGGCGCTTGATTTTATTTTGGATCCAAGGTATCACAATACACCTTTAAATTAGATTCCTTTGAGATAAACTAAAATATCTACCAATATTTACATGACCACTACTTCTTTTCTTCCAAGTTATAGGATCAGCGTCACATTCCTTCCGTGGTTCAAAGTATCCAATATCGATATGAGTCCATCGAGTCGGACGACTCGGCAAAAGATATTGTTACACGTATAAACTTCAAATCTCTCACCACTCGGTCAATCCCAAGTTGCAAAGTCATTAAGTCGGTTGATATGATTTTGCAATACGGCGGTATGACAAGAATTTCGTATTATGTTTAATATTTTTTTTTAGGTCGTATCCCATGATATCATGTCGGGACGCTGCAACCAATATATTTAAAAGCTATCTGAATTGATGATGATTGATACTGNAAAAGCTCAAATCTGAGGTATATTAGCGATTCTGAGTCTTTGATTATATATATATACACACACACACACAAGGATAACCCGTGTTTGATGGTTGTAACGTAGTGAGAAATGATAGATTTGAGAAGAATGTTAAGTGGCGTTTGTTGGATGGATTTATTGAAATTTGTCCCGATTTATATTATAGATTGTTTGTGTTACGTNCACAACCTGGAACCATAATTCCTTCTTTTTTGATCTTCACCCATGTTAATTGATGGTGGGTGATTCGACCTAGATCAAGTTCCGCTCACGTAGATAAATGGATCTTTTCATAATTGGGTCGTTACTCGGAGGTTACCTTGGTAGTTACCTCCACTTCTCATTGCACTCTCTATCTCTATTTGCATNTGCAGTTCACCATGAAGGTCGAGGATCGGCTTAGCATGGACAGCGGAGAAAGCGCAGTGGTGGACGAGAATGGTCCACAGCTTGTGGACGGTTGTGATTCATACCTCCCTAGTGAATACTACCCTGGATGTGTTGCAACACCACTTGAAGGGATCCAATCAGAAGACGATGATGGTAGTGATGATGGCCGGAGTTACTTCTCCAATGCATTTGTTGCAACGGAAGAGCAACACCGTGGGNGGAGAAAATAACACACAGAGATTTACGTGGTTCGGCAATATGCCTACATCCACGAGGGCGAGCGGCCGTTCTTTTCCATTATAGAATAGGGTTACATCTTGANTCAAATGCTAAAGCATCAATTCCAAATTGCTTCTCCTTGGGTTATTGAGGGTGGGGTGTCAACTTAAGAATCTGAAGTCTCAACTTTCTTAAACTTTAAAGGCTTAATTGCGCAATAGATCCCCAAAGTATAAAATTTGTCTCATTTTAGTTTTTAATATTTTAATTACATCATTTTTATTTTTGGAGTNTATAACCCTAATATGGACGTATTTACAAAAATACCCATGTACCGTACCGCAGGGGCATTGCCCCCGCACCCCCAACTAATCAGCATCCCCTTTATATAAATCCCGCAAAGCAGATGCCGTCGCGGGCTCCGCTTCGCTCCACTCCGCCCCGCTTCGGCATCTGCCTCCTTGTCACTATGCACACAACAATATATGAGTCACACATACTCTAACAATTTGCGAACANCAAACAGGCAACGCCCAAATTACTAATAATTTTTTATCATAAACTTGTCATGTGATATTTAAATATGGATAAAAAAATAATTTGAATAACTCTTGATTAAATTTTTACTCAAATTTTGGTTAAATAGCTACCAAAATTACTCAGTTTTAATCATGAATTATCTCAAATTTGGTTAAAAGCTACCCATATTACACATTTTTATCAAGAGCTACTTAAATTTTGTTTAAGAATTATCAAAATTATTTTTGGTCCATATTTAAGTATTATGTAATAAGTTTATGATAAAAAATTGTTAACAATTTAGACGTTATTTGCTTGTGGGACTATATAGAAATACTAGTTATTGCCTGTGATTGAAGGCACAAAGTAATAAAAAATGGTAAATAATAAATATATTTGTATTTATATCCAAAATCAAATAACAAATATAGAAAAACGATAAATAAATTTAAGAATCAATTTGTATTAGGAGTGAGAGGTGATGGACAACAGTGGTGGTGGTAGAAGACAATAATGGATGTAGTAGGCGACAATGACCGTGGTGGCGACGATGATGGTGGCGAAGGAGGTGGCGACCGACAGCGGTGGCGGCAGGGGTGACGACAACGACGACGACGGCGATGGTGGCAGTTGTGGTGGCGACGACAACGTCTACGGTGGTGGTGGTGACTGTGGTGGTGGTGGCGGTGGTGGTGCTGGCGATGGTGGAGCGATNCTCCCTAGTGAATACTACCCTGGATGTGTTGCACCACCACTTGAAGGGATCCAATCAGAAGACGATGATGGTAGTGATGAGGGCCGGAGTTACTTCTCCGATGCATTTGTTGCAACGGAAGAGCAACACCGTGAGGAAGGAGAGACACTGGGCTGGTGGGTCTGGTCTTAAATTAGTAACCTGAATTTTATTGTGTCAAATATGGCTCACTGTCTTAAGAGTCCCCTTTGTAATTCCTATTTACTATTGTCTCTCTCTCTCTAAACTAAAAATCTCATAATGGTCCTGGTACGTTTCTTGGCAATTAATATGGAAACCGAATAAGGGTGGTAAATGGTCTGTCAGAATGGTCCTGTTGATGGGCAATGTTGGTGTATAAATTGCAGTGTTTTGGTCGACTATTTCACCTGGGCATTATTCATGTGTAAGACAGTCTCTCCCCAGATTGCTAACTCTTTTTAAATTCTGCAATGACAAAAATCTCAAATATTGGGTACTATGANAAAAGCTCAAATCTGAGGTATATTAGCGATTCTGAGTCTTTGATTATATATATATATATATATATATATATACACACACACACACACAAGGGTGACCCGTGTTTGATGGTTGTAACGCAGTGAGAAATAATAGATTTGAGAAGAATGTTAAGTGGCGTTCGTTGGGTGGATTTATTGAAATTTGTCCCGATTTATATTATAGATTGTTTGTGTTACATTGGAGCATATAGTTATTTATGCTAGACGGCAGGTTGTTTCCTTGACTGAGAAGTTGCAAGCAAAAGAAGACCCGCTTCCGGTGGATGCAGCCCATGTTCCAGCCATGCAGTTCACCATGAAGGTCGAGGATCGGCTTAGCATGGACAGCGGAGAAAGCGCAGTGGTGGACGAGAATGGTCCACAGCTTGTGGACGGTTGTGATTCATACCTCCCTAGTGAATACTACCCTGGATGTGTTGCAACACCACTTGAAGGGATCCAATCAGAAGACGATGATGGTAGTGATGATGGCCGGAGTTACTTCTCCAATGCATTTGTTGCAACGGAAGAGCAACACCGTGAGGAAGGAGAGACACTGGGCTGGTGGGTCTGGTCTTAAATTAGTAACCTGAATTTTATTGTGTCAAATATGGCTCACTGTCTTAAGAGTCCCCTTTGTAATTCCTATTTACTATTGTCTCTCTCTCTCTAAACTAAAAATCTCATAATGGTCCTGGTACGTTTCTTGGCAATTAATATGGAAACCGAATAAGGGTGGTAAATGGTCTGTCAGAATGGTCCTGTTGATGGGCAATGTTGGTGTATAAATTGCAGTGTTTTGGTCGACTATTTCACCTGGGCATTATTCATGTGTAAGACAGTCTCTCCCCAGATTGCGCATATTTAACTCTTTTTAAATTGCAATGACAAAAATCTCAAATATTGGGTACTATTATACATGTGTAATACATACAATAATTCTAAATAGTAGTGTTGGACTGGAAAACAGTACAAAGCATTCCAATCGGTTAGCATTGTTTCAAGTACCATGGTATCCCCATCGCCATCAACCCTAAAGAAATATCATCCTAATACATACACTTGTTAATTGACATCCACGAGCTAACTGACATCCACGAGCTTATGTCTTAGGAGTTGTCCACATTCTTAATCATCGCTGGCAGCTTGCTACAAGACAACCCACTTCATCATGGTTGAGCTGTTCAAGTTGAAAAGACATGATTCTTTGGATACGTGTAAAATTTTCATTTTTCTGAATAATTCGTAATTATTATTACATAATTTTGAAATTTTTACATAATCCTTTATATGTAACGTACCCAATCATCTTCTCCGAGCTACATCATTCATTCAATCCATATAGCGTTGTTTTTTTTTTGTTTGACAGAGTGCTAGGAACTTAGTTTTATGAAGCACCAGTGCCCAACGGAATCACTTTTGCGTCGGCGTAGNGACCCGTGTTTGATGGTTGTAACGCAGTGAGAAATAATAGATTTGAGAAGAATGTTAAGTGGCGTTCGTTGGATGGATTTATTGAAATTTGTCCCGATTTATATTATAGATTGTTTGTGTTACATTGGAGCATATAGTTATTTATGCTAGACGGCAGGTTGTTTCCTTGACTGAGAAGTTGCAAGCAAAAGAAGACCCGCTTCCGGTGGATGCAGCCCATGTTCCAGCCATGCAGTTCACCATGAAGGTCGAGGATCGGCTTAGCATGGACAGCGGAGAAAGCGCAGTGGTGGACGAGAATGGTCCACAGCTTGTGGACGGTTGTGATTCATACCTCCCTAGTGAATACTACCCTGGATGTGTTGCACCACCACTTGAAGGGATCCAATCAGAAGACGATGATGGTAGTGATGAGGGCCGGAGTTACTTCTCCGATGCATTTGTTGCAACGGAAGAGCAACACCGTGAGGAAGGAGAGACACTGGGCTGGTGGGTCTGGTCTTAAATTAGTAACCTGAATTTTATTGTGTCAAATATGGCTCACTGTCTTAAGAGTCCCCTTTGTAATTCCTATTTACTATTGTCTCTCTCTCTCTAAACTAAAAATCTCATAATGGTCCTGGTACGTTTCTTGGCAATTAATATGGAAACCGAATAAGGGTGGTAAATGGTCTGTCAGAATGGTCCTGTTGATGGGCAATGTTGGTGTATAAATTGCAGTGTTTTGGTCGACTATTTCACCTGGGCATTATTCATGTGTAAGACAGTCTCTCCCCAGATTGCGCATATTTAACTCTTTTTAAATTGCAATGACAAAAATCTCAAATATTGGGTACTATTATACATGTGTAATACATACAATAATTCTAAATAGTAGTGTTGGACTGGAAAACAGTACAAAGCATTCCAATCGGTTAGCATTGTTTCAAGTACCATGGTATCCCCATCGCCATCAACCCTAAAGAAATATCATCCTAATACATACACTTGTTAATTGACATCCACGAGCTAACTGACATCCACGAGCTTATGTCTTAGGAGTTGTCCACATTCTTAATCATCGCTGGCAGCTTGCTACAAGACAACCCACTTCATCATGGTTGAGCTGTTCAAGTTGAAAAGACATGATTCTTTGGATATGTGTAAAATTTTCATTTTTCTGAATAATTCGTAATTATTATTACATAATTTTGAAATTTTTACATAATCCTTTATATGTAACGTACCCAATCATCTTCTCCGAGCTACATCATTCATTCAATCCATATAGCGGTTTTTTTTTTTGTTTGACAGAGTGCTAGGAACTTAGTTTTATGAAGCACCAGTGCCCAACGGAATCACTTTTGCGTCGGCGTAGTGTGCACAGAGAGGAAAAGAGACTTAGCTACCCTCACCACTGGCTGACCAAATTACATGTCGAAGGAACACTTCAACCCTTTGACATTGTCAATGAGGTCGTCAGAGTGGCCAAGTGGTAATGCTTTATTCAAGTGGGTTATGGTCAATGGTGCCAATGTTGTTGGAGACTTGGAGGACTGGTTAAACGGGTTTGCATCGTGGGGCAATGATNTCACTTTTGCGTCGGCGTAGTGTGCACAGAGAGGAAAAGAGACTTAGCTACCCTCACCACTGGCTGACCAAATTGCATCGTGGGGCAATGGTGTATTTATTTTTATATTAAACTTGAACTCAATATTAAAATACGTTTAATTTATAATTCAAAACTTTAACAAAAAAAAAAAAAATTCATGAAGAAACTTGTAATTGCAAGTTTAGAATTAAGTGTAGTGATTCAAATCCAAACCATGGAACAAAGTGAGATTTAGACAACAAAAATAATGTGTCGATCGCTGATGATTATGACTCGAGTGGCATCTTCAGGTGAACGACCTCGACCTTGATTATCTGATCTTCAAAAATAAACAATAATTAAATAAATTAATAATTCCACTTACAATCATCTTCAAATGCTAAAGCATCAATTCCAAATTGCTTCTCCTTGGGTTATTGAGGGTGGGGCGTCAACTTAAGAATCTGAAGTCTCAACTTTCTTAAACTTTAAAGGCTTAATTGCGCAATAGATCCCCTAAGTATAAAATTTGTCTCATTTTAGTTTTTAATATTTTAATTACATCATTTTTATTTTTGGACTNGAGATTGTGCAGAATTCAACCAATGAAAGTTGTGTGATTTTACCGGCCAGTACCACTTAGCAATGGAACTAATTGTTTCAGTTGGATGAACCTGCATTCAGATCCTGCCAGCTCGTCTATCCCTATTAAAAGACATAAAATGTGTTTATCTTTTGCAGAATATCTTATTACTTCAGAGTTCTGCAACTGGATGGATTGATCTGTTATTGTATATNTCCTTCAAACAGGCAACGCCCAAATTACTAATAATTTTTTATCATAAACTTGTCATGTGATGTTTAAATATGGATAAAAAAATAATTTGAATAACTCTTGATTAAATTTTTAATCAAATTTTGGTTAAATAGCTACCCAAATTACTCAGTTTTAATCATGAATTATCTCAAATTTGATTAAAAGCTACCCATATTACACATTTTTATCAAGAGCTACTTAAATTTNTTGCAAGTTTAGAATTAAGTGTAGTGATTCAAATCCAAACCATGGAACAAAGTGAGATTTAGACAACAAAAATAATGTGTCGATCGCTGATGATTATGACTCGAGTGGCATCTTCAGGTGAACGACCTCGACCTTGATTATCTGATCTTCAAAAATAAACAATAATTAAATAAATTAATAATTCCACTTACAATCATCTTCAAATGCTAAAGCATCAATTCCAAATTGCTTCTCCTTGGGTTATTGAGGGTGGGGTGTCAACTTAAGAATCTGAAGTCTCAACTTTCTTAAACTTTAAAGGCTTAATTGCGCAATAGATCCCCAAAGTATAAAATTTGTCTCATTTTAGTTTTTAATATTTTAATTACATCATTTTTATTTTTGGAGTATTGAATATATTTCTATATAGTCCTTCAAACAGGCAACGCCCAAATTACTAATAATTTTTTATCATAAACTTGTCATGTGATATTTAAATATGGATAAAAAAATAATTTGAATAACTCTTGATTAAATTTTTACTCAAATTTTGGTTAAATAGCTACCAAAATTACTCAGTTTTAATCATGAATTATCTCAAATTTGGTTAAAAGCTACCCATATTACACATTTTTATCAAGAGCTACTTAAATTTTGTTTAAGAATTATCAAAATTATTTTTGGTCCATATTTAAGTATTATGTAATAAGTTTATGATAAAAAATTGTTAACAATTTAGACGTTATTTGCTTGTGGGACTATATAGAAATACTAGTTATTGCCTGTGATTGAAGGCACAAAGTAATAAAAAATGGTAAATAATAAATATATTTGTATTTATATCCAAAATCAAATAACAAATATAGAAAAACGATAAATAAATTTAAGAATCAATTTGTATTAGGAGTGAGAGGTGATGGACAACAGTGGTGGTGGTAGAAGACAATAATGGATGTAGTAGGCGACAATGACCGTGGTGGCGACGATGATGGTGGCGAAGGAGGTGGCGACCGACAGCGGTGGCGGCAGGGGTGACGACAACGACGACGACGGCGATGGTGGCAGTTGTGGTGGCGACGACAACGTCTACGGTGGTGGTGGTGACTGTGGTGGTGGTGGCGGTGGTGGTGCTGGCGATGGTGGAGCGATTTCAAACATTATTTTTTTTTAAAGTATTTATGAGAAATAATTTTTAAAAGTACTTTTAAAAAATTACTCCAAACATATCCTTAGGGGCCTATTTTTTTTTATTAAATTTAAGGTGTTCATATTAGCCGTTAGATTAATTTTAAAATAAAATTTAAAGCAATCTCAACTGCGAATAGTAAAAGTCATTTTGTTTATATTTTAAAATTTGAATTGTAAACTACTTTATTATATAAACTAGTTATTGTCTGTTTCTGAAGACACAGAATAATAAAAAATGGTAAATAAAAAACATATTTGTATTTATATCCAAAATCAAATCACAAACATAGAAAAGAGATAAAAGAATTTAAGCATCGGCTTGTAATGGGGGTGAGAGTTGGTGGGTTGCAGTGGTGGTAGTAGGAGACGGTGATGGTAGCAGTGAGTGGCAATGACTGNAAGAGCTACTTAAATTTTGTTTAAGAATTATCAAAATTATTTTTGGTCCATATTTAGGTATTACGTAATAAGTTTATGATAAAAAATTGTTAACAATTTAGACGTTATTTGCTTGTGGGACTATATAGAAATACTAGTTATTGCCTATGATTGAAGGTAGAAAGTAATAAAAAATGATAAATAATAAATATATTTGTATTTATATCAAAAATCAAATAATAAATATAGAAAAACGATAAATAAATTTAAGAATCGATTTGTATTAGGAGTGAGAGGTGATGAACGACAGTGATGGTGGTAGAAAACGATAATGGATGTAGTAGGCAACAATGACCGTGGTGGCGACGATGATGGTGGCGAAGGAGGTGGCGACCGACAGCGGTGGAGGCGGGGGTGACGACAACGACGACGACGGCTATAGTGGCAGTTGTGGTGGCGACGACAGCGTCTACTGTGGTGGTGGTGGCGATGGTGGTAGTGGTGGTGGTGGTGGCGGTGATGGTGGAGCGATTTCAAATATTATTTTTTTTTGAAGTATTTATGAGAAATAATTTTTAAAAGTACTTTTAAAAAATTATTCCAAATACATCCTTAGGGGCTTATTTTTTTTTATTAAATTTAAGGTGTTCATATTAGCCGTTAGATTAATTTTAAAATAAAATTTAAAATAATCTCAACCGTGAATAGTAAAAGTCATTTTATTTATATTTTTAAGATTTGAATTGTAAACTACTTTATTATATAAACTAGTTATTGTCTGTGTCTGAAGACACAGAATAATAAAAAATGGTAAATAAAAAACATATTTGTATTTATATCCAAAATCAAATCACAAACATAGAAAAGAGATAAAAGAATTTAAGCATCGGCTTGTAATGGGGGTGAGAGTTGGTGGGTTGCAGTGGTGGTAGTAGGAGACGGTGATGGTAGCAGTGAGTGGCAATGACTGTGTTGGCGGTGGCGGCGGCGGTAATAGTGGTGGTGGCGATGGCGGTGATGGTGATAACGACAATGATGGTGGCGGAGGCGGTGGCAATGACGATGACGATGACGGTGGGGGCGGTGGTGGTGGTGGTGGCGACGACGACGATGGGGATGGTGGCGGCGACGGTAGTAGTGGTAGTAATGACGGCGACAGTGGTGATGGCGGCGGCGGTAATGATGGTGGTGGCGATACTGGTGGTAGGGGTGGTGGTGGTAGAGGTAGTAGTGAGGCGGTTTCAAATACTATTTTAAAAAAAAAAATATTTATGAGAAATAATTTCTAAAAATACTTTAAAAAAATCACTTCAAACACACCTTTAGAACCCTATTTTTTTATTAAATTTAGTGTGTTAATATTAGCCGTTAGATTAACTTGAAAGTAAAATTTAAAGTGATCTCAACCACGAATAGTAAAAATTATTTTGTTTATCTTTTGAGATTTGAATTGTAAACTACTTTATTATATAAATATCAAATAATTCAGATATTAAAATGATGTAATTGAAACATTATGAACTAAAATGAGACAAATTTCAATCTTTATAGACTTTTAATGCAATTAACCCAACTTCAAATTAATGGCAGTGACAGTTTCGATATTTTATTTCAAAAACAGGGGTAGTTCGGAACTAAAAATCGCGAATTTATTATGTCATTGGCTTCTCTCTCGGCGCTCGCTCACATGTAAATTTGCCGTCCTTGCCGGCCCAGGTCTCATAAGACTGCGATTTTCGCCGGTTTTTCTCTCTCTACAGTGTTCTCGTATACACACACATTTACACTATCAAATCTGTTCATATTNGTATTTATATCCAAAATCAAATCACAAACATAGAGAAGAGATAAAAGAATTTAAGCATCGGCTTGTAATGGGAGTGAGAGTTGGTGGGTTGCAGTAGTGGTAGTAGGAGACGGTGATGGTAACAGTGAGTGGCAATGACTGTGTTAGCGGTGGTGGCAGCGGTAATGGTGGTGGTGGGAGTGGTGGCGATGACGATGACGATGACGATGACAGTGGGGACGGTGGTGGTAGTGGCAACGACGACGACGATGGGGATGGTGGCGGCGACGATAGTAGTGGTAGTAATGACGGCGACAGTGGTGGCGGCGGCGGCGATAATGATGGTGGTGGAGATACTGGTGGTAGGGGTGGTGGTGGTGGTAGAGGTAGTAGTGAGACGGTTTCAAATACTATTTAAAAAAAAAATATTTATGAGAAATAATTTCTAAAAATACTTTAAAAAAATCACTTCAAACACACCTTTAGAGCCCTATTTTTTTTATTAAATTTAGTGTGTTAATATTAGCCGTTAGATTAACTTGAAAGTAAAATTTAAAGCGATCTCAACCACGAATAGTAAAAATCATTTTGTTTATCTTTTGATATTTGAATTATAAGCTATTTTATTATATAAATATCCAATGATTCAGATATTAAAATGATGTAATTGAAACATTATGAACTAAAATGAAACAAATTTCATACTTTATATACCTTTAATGCAATTAACCCAACTTCAAATTAATTGGCGGTGACAGTTTCGATATTTTATTTCAAAAATAGGGGTAGTTCGGAACTGAAAATCGCGAATTTATTATGTCATTGGCTTCTCTCTCGGCGCTCGCTCACATGTAAATTTGCCGTCCTTGCCGGCCCAGGTCCCATAAGACTGCGATTTTCGCCGGTTTTTCTCTCTGAACTTTCTCTCTCTACAGTGTTCTCGTATACACACACATTTACACTATCAAATCTGTTCATATTTTAGAGAGAAGAGTCCAAGCATTTTCTTCACTGCTTAACCGACTTCTTCGCTTTATCTTCTCTGGTAATCTTTCTCTCTCTCCCTCTCTCTCTCTGTTATTGTATGTAACATTACGAAACTAGTTTTGACTAATGTGAACTTAAAATCTGCTGATGGAATGGTTGGAATGAATTTGAAATTCATTGTTTGAACTCAAATGTTACGATCTGCCAATGGAGGGTGGAACGGGATCTTGTACTTCAATGAGTTTTACATTTTATTGTTATAGGCTTTGTACGCATTCTATTCGCTGTTTATTAGTTGATGCTGGTGGTCGCGGAACTGTAGATCTAATTTCAATCTGTTTTGTTGAATACGTTGTGGTTCTGTCAGCGAATTGTTGTAGCATTGAAGTGTGATCTATATAGTCTGCGTGTGGTGTTCAATCGGTGCTCATTGGCACTATTGACCTTGTTGCTATCATTCGCATAGTGCAAAAATGTTGCTACTATGACTCTTTAATCTATCTTCATGGGAAACTGGGCAGCTTTAGGGTTTGAATCTGGGCTTTTATTGTGGAGATTGTGCAGAATTCAACCAATGAAAGTTGTGTGATTTTACCGGCCAGTACCACCTAGCAATAGAACTAATTGTTTCAGTTGGATGAACCTGCATTCAGATCCTGCCAGCTCGTCTATGCCTATTAAAAGATATAAAATGTGTTTGTCTTTTGCAGAATATCTTATTACTTCAGAGTTCTGCAACTGGATATATTGATCTGTTATTGTATGTTGTGTAATATACAGAACAACCGACTTTAAACGTTGATGTGGTCCTTTTCCTTGTTAATTTAGGCATGCTGACTCTGCTTCTGTATACTTTTGTCCTAATGTAGATGAATTCTTATTCAATTTTGTTTACAGTTTACAAAGACTATCAGTATTGAATATATCCATTTTCTGTTTAAGGCTTAGAAACCCCAAATAATGATGTCTGGTGAAGCTCTTAGAGATCTCAATATCCTGCCTGAGTGTGAGAGGAAGACTCAGAACTCCATTAATGGGAGCTTTTCCAAGCCTCATGTGGAGCATACTACTGAAACTCTTGAAGAAATTCAGAGAAAAGAAACTTCTTGTTTGGTTAAAACTCTTATCAATGGATGTGAAACTCCGAACTCTGGCGTCGAGGTGGGAAATTCAGAAGTGGAATACATTGAATCTGGGGACTTGAATGACGTAGAAGATGTGGAACAGAGTCTCAAGGTAAGAGTATGTTATTTCGATATCATATCAGGATATTCAGCTGTGCTGATTATGTTTGCAAAAGATTCGGGTAAATGAACTGCCTGTGTAATATGATATGTTTTTCTTTCAGACACTCTTAGCTGGCTTAGACTCCAAAGATTGGATTTTGGTGTGTGAGGCACTTAATGATGTACGCCGGCTCTCGATATTTCAGAAGGAAGCTATGGTCAACATGTTGTAAGTATCAATTGTAATGTGATCTTTCCCTAACCATGGGATGTTATTTATTGATTTCATTTGGTAATTTTGTTTCATTTCCCATTCATGGCCAACATATTTTGACTAACAGGGAAAGAGTGATTCCCCTCATTGTGAAGTCCCTGAAGAATCCCAGAAGTGCGGTTTGTAAAACCGCAATTATGACGTCTGCAGACATTTTCAGTGCATATGGTGATCATATAGTTGATTCACTAGACCCTGTGGTAACTTTTTTTTCCCCTTTAATTTCAACTGCTGCTTTTGGTTATGTTTTTTTAATGAATGTCTTTTTCACTCTTTAAACTCATTCTCATATCATATTCATCCTTTCTATGCGATTACTTGTCTTTGGTTTAGCTTGTACAACTTCTTCTCAAGTCTTCACAAGACAAAAGATTTGTATGTGAGGCTGCTGAAAGATCTCTAATAGCTATGACTACTTGGGTTTCCCCCAATTTGTTGTTACCAAAGTTGCAACCTTATCTGAAGAACAGGAATCCTCGAATTCGAGCGAAAGCTTCAATGTGCTTTTGTAAAAGTGTACCAAGACTGGTAAGAATCTAACATTAATTACGTCTTTTCTCTTCATCTCAATGATTGATTCTCTCATATCTGGGTGGGTTCATGTGTTTTTTCTTTATTTCTGAAGAAAAAAATTCAAGTTTGTCTTTAGCATGCTTATCCTTCTTGTTGCTACCTTTTTGTTGCCTACTTTTGTGAAACAAAAGGAAAAATTATATGGCCTAAGGTGTGTCTTCTTTCTCTGCAAACTTTGGTCCGTAAAGATATTGAGAGACTCTTTTTCTCTTAACAGATTTTATCGTGAAACCAAGTTCAGGCCCAGCACGAATTATCCTTTATTGAATATTTAGGGAGAGGGTGGCTTTTTTTAATCTTTTAAAGCGCATTTTGCCTCATCTCAATTATTAAGGGATTTGTTTTGCACAGAATTGTAATCTTTTATCCTTTCAATTAGTAACATTGAATTAGCTTGCCTTGTTCTTATTTATTTATTTATTTTCCTGTTTCCTTTCTAGGAAAGTAGTTGTTTCTTATTTCACAAAACCTCAATCTAGCATTAATACTACTGAAAATAAGTGAGAAACATGATTCTTAATGTATGCGTTCTTTGTATATATTGTGGCCCTATACGTTATTGTCACTTGATATCAGTTATTATTTTTGGTTTTCTTTTGTGTTTGTTAAAGAATTCATTTGCCATTTTGCGTGCTGTACATACAGGGAGTTGAGGGAATCAAAGCATATGGGATTGACAAGTTGATCCAAATAGCTGCAACCCAGCTTAGTGACCAGCTTCCTGAATCCAGGGAGGCAGCTCGTGCTCTCTTGTTGGAGCTGCAAACTGTGTATGAAANAAGGAAGCTATGGTCAACATGTTGTAAGTATCAATTGTAATGTGATCTTTCCCTAACCATGGGATGTTATTTATTGATTTCATTTGGTAATTTTGTTTCATTTCCCATTCATGGCCAACATATTTTGACTAACAGGGAAAGAGTGATTCCCCTCATTGTGAAGTCCCTGAAGAATCCCAGAAGTGCGGTTTGTAAAACCGCAATTATGACGTCTGCAGACATTTTCAGTGCATATGGTGATCATATAGTTGATTCACTAGACCCTGTGGTAACTTTTTTTTCCCCTTTAATTTCAACTGCTGCTTTTGGTTATGTTTTTTTAATGAATGTCTTTTTCACTCTTTAAACTCATTCTCATATCATATTCATCCTTTCTATGCGATTACTTGTCTTTGGTTTAGCTTGTACAACTTCTTCTCAAGTCTTCACAAGACAAACGATTCGNTCTTAGCTGGCTTAGACTCCAAAGATTGGATTTTGGTGTGTGAGGCACTTAATGATGTACGCCGGCTCTCGATATTTCAGAAGGAAGCTATGGTCAACATGTTGTAAGTATCAATTGTAATGTGATCTTTCCCTAACCATGGGATGTTATTTATTGATTTCATTTGGTAATTTTGTTTCATTTCCCATTCATGGCCAACATATTTTGACTAACAGGGAAAGAGTGATTCCCCTCATTGTGAAGTCCCTGAAGAATCCCAGAAGTGCGGTTTGTAAAACCGCAATTATGACGTCTGCAGACATTTTCAGTGCATATGGTGATCATATAGTTGATTCACTAGACCCCGTGGTAACTTTTTTTTCCCCTTTAATTTCAACTGCTGCTTTTGGTTATGTTTTTTTAATGAATGTCTGTTTTCACTCTTTAAACTCATTCTCATATCATATTCATCCTTTCTATGGGATTACTTGTCCTTGGTATAGCTTGTACAACTTCTTCTCAAGTCTTCACAAGACAAAAGATTTGTATGTGAGGCTGCTGAAAGATCTCTAATAGCTATGACTACTTGGGTTTCCCCCAATTTGTTGTTACCAAAGTTGCAACCTTATCTGAAGAACAGGAATCCTCGAATTCGAGCTAAAGCTTCAATGTGCTTTTGTAAAAGTGTACCAAGACTGGTAAGAATCTAACATTAATTACGTCTTTTCTCTTCATCTCAATGATTGATTCTCTCATATCTGGGTGGGTTCATGTGTTTTTTCTTTATTTCTGAAGAAAAAAATTCAAGTTTGTCTTTAGCATGCTTATCCTTCTTGTTGCTACCTTTTTGTTGCCTACTTTTGTGAAACAAAAGGAAAAATTATATGGCCTAAGGTGTGTCTTCTTTCTCTGCAAACTTTGGTCCGTAAAGATATTGAGAGACTCTTTTTCTCTTAACAGATTTTATCGTGAAACCAAGTTCAGGCCCAGCACGAATTATCCTTTATTGAATATTTAGGGAGAGGGTGGCTTTTTTTAATCTTTTAAAGTGCATTTTGCCTCATCTCAATTATTAAGGGATTTGTTTTGCACAGAATTGTAATCTTTTATCCTTTCAATTAGTAACATTGAATTAGCTTGCCTTGTTCTTATTTATTTATTTATTTATTTATTTTCCTGTTTCCTTTCTAGGAAAGTAGTTGTTTCTTATTTCACAAAACCTCAATCTAGCATTAATACTACTGAAAATAAGTGAGAAACATGATTCTTAATGTATGCGTTCTTTGTATATATTGTGGCCCTATACGTTATTGTTACTTGATATCAGTTATTATTTTTGGTTTTCTTTTGTGTTTGTTAAAGAATTCTTTTGCCATTTTGCGTGCTGTACATACAGGGAGTTGAGGGAATCAAAGCATATGGGATTGACAAGTTGATCCAAATAGCTGCATCCCAGCTTAGTGACCAGCTTCCTGAATCCAGGGAGGCAGCTCGTGCTCTCTTGTTGGAGCTGCAAACTGTGTATGAGANCAATGGATGATCATATAAATTAGCTATGATCTTGGATTTTGAACAATGATCAGTTGTTTGTGAGCTTGGTAGTCTTGGGTGGTTTCGGGAATGGAAGTTGATAAATATATGGAGGAAAATTTCTGACGAATGAACAAGTTGTTGGGTTTTGCTACAAAGCTAATGGGCATGGCAATTGCCATATCTTTGATATTGTTATTTGTGGGTGTTGGAGTTGTGATCTTGATTTATGTTTGTATTGCTAGGAGGGCCTTTAGGAGAGGACTTGGTAACAGTAGTCTGGTTGGGAGGGGCGGCTTTGGAACCACAAGCATGTCTCAAAATGATCTAGAAAAGCTACCTTGCTTCGATTTCATTGCGAATTCTAGGGGAAGTAGTCCTGTTGATTGTGCAGTGTGTTTAGAGAACTTTAGGGTCGGCGATAAGTGTAAGTTATTGCCTTTATGCAAGCATAGTTTTCACGCAGAGTGTCTGGATTCATGGCTTTTGAGGACACCCAGTTGCCCAATCTGCAGGACTACTGCTGATTCTTGGAAGGGGGATTCAGTATCCGATGGTGAAAGCAGCTGTTCCAGTGAGATTGCGATCGAGTTGAGAGAGCACCAATCAACAGACAGCGGCCAGAATGTAATGGAGTTGAGAGAGGGCCAAACAGCAGAAAGTGGCCATTTGAATGATCTTGGAACAGAGCTGAGAGAGAGCCAAACCATAGAAAGCACTCATTTGGGTGATATTGAAACTGAACCAAGAGAGAACCAAACAGCTTTAGTTGGATCATAACTCCCCTATTACTTACTGCTTTGTAGGGCTTTTTTCAAAGAATGATTAGGACAGAGCATAGCCCATTAGAAGGACGACTCTTTAGAGGAGTCGATTTCAAGGCATCAATAATCATCCTCTCCCAATTGAAAAAGGTTACATTACATACAATCTAAGGTTTAAAAAAGTTGTTATTCTATGATGATGACATTGATTGCTTTAGTTCTTGAATCACAGCATGTCTCCAATCTCTTTTGTCAATAACATCTTCACATAGCTTATCGTTAAAGTTCCATGGAGTTGGAGTCGTCGCTTACTGATCTTAATGACTGCTTCATCATCTTCGAACTTGTTCGTGCCCCATTTAGATGAGTCACTTCACTAACTTAAAAAGTAGTTAATAAAGTCAAAGCATAACAAAATAGATTGATTAGGTCATTCATTCACTACTGCAAATGCAGCGCAAAACCAAGGAGTTCATTTCATTAGTGTGTTTGTGTTCAATTTCCTCTCAAACTTTCAACAATAAACAATTATAAGAAACAGAATCAGCATTAGGGTTTGGCAAGTTAGGCTGCCATTCAAAAAGTACAGATTCTTTTTGATCACCGCCCCCCTTGAGCTTTTGGTAGATAAACGAAAAACCAAAAGGTTAGTAGGCCAGGATGGATCAAAAGGATAGTATTTGTGTTAATCGAATCGTGTTATATTATTTTGAGTGGTAGCATATTCTTGTTTCATCATGATCAGATNAACACAAACTCAGTTGCCTTCTTGTTCTGATGATTGAGACATTGCTTTCCGGGTAGTCCATTGGTATTTTTCTGGAACAGAAATTGTATGTTGCTTCTACGAAGGGGCTCACTAACTGCGAGTGGACATAAGTCAAGTTCACACAAAGAGCGAAATAATCCCTGTATAGTATTTTTCACAATAATGAGTTAACATAGTGGGATTTTTGCACTTTGTACCATGAAAGATGACTCGATTTTTATTTTACTTCTCGAAAGATTATTTTTTCTACTTTACATCTGAAATGTCATAAATTAGTTCTAATGTAGTCCTTAGATTAACATTCGTTTCAAATTTTATTAAAAATTTATGTACACGTTACACTAGAATATGAATTGTGAGTTTATATTAACGGAATTTGAAACGAATGTTAGTGCGAGAGTCACATTGAAACCAATTTATGACATTTAAGGTATAATGTAAAAAAAATAATTTTTCATGGTATAAAGTAAAAATTGAGACGTCTTTTGAAATATATAGTGCGAAAAGTCTTAATATAAGAGGTGGTGCATTTAGCAGGGATCTTTATCTTTCGTGGGTCGATTGATCAGATCAATTAATTTTTTGGGTCACAGATCTAGTGTTGCCCAAAAAAAAAAAAACACCCATCATGTCGTTTGGGCGATGATGATGATAATAGAAAGAAGCAATTTGGTTGCTGTTTGATCCATCTGGTGGTGCCCTAATTAGTCAAACAAAAGTGGGTGCTGAATCACCATCCTTAAATGTTTCATGGTGTCACATTTTTCGGTCTTTTGTCTCGAGTTTTGTTGCATCCCACTGACCACCCAACATGACATCGTTTTGTGAAGTGAGTGTGAAGTAATATATAAATGTTGAGTTTTGTTTTTCAGTGTTCAAGTTCAAAGCCATGTAAATCTAACTTAAAATGAACAATATCATGCAGCATGCCTCCTAAACACAGTTTATAATTAGTTAAGGAAGCAAATAGAGATTTACTAAAAAGTAGAGCTGCATATTTAGTTGTCTGGAGACATGACTTGTACAGGGGAATGCTCCAAACAACTGCCAAATGTGGAAGAAAAATTGATAGCAAAAAGATAAAGAGAAAAGTTTGAAATCTCTATCATATTTCTTGTATGTAGCTGTAAATTTGGTTCTTCACACCCACTCCATAAGAGAGAGGCAACCCAATCCCCCACTAAATCATTAAATATTTCTTTTCCACAATAAAGGAGTGGGCGGGTATTAGCATAGTGGTAAAGTTGTTCTATTGTGATATGAGGTCACGGATTCGAGTCACAAAAACAATTTTTCTGCTTGCAAGGATAAAACTGCATATATCTAATCTTCTCCGTACTCCTCAATGACAATAGGCTTTCTGCTTATGCTATCAGGAAATCTGAACCATCCTACTTCATGCAACTTTAATTCCTCAGCAACTCTTTTAATCCTCCAACTCCAAAGTTCTCGGGCCACAAGAAGTTTATGTAAGTTGATCTGATCTTAAGTTTTTCAACTGACACCTTTTGAGTTGTTGATCTTCTTTTACGTATGATGGCCTGTTTATATCATGAAGTTGTTGCAATGGATGATCATATAAATTAGCTATGATCTTGGATTTTGAACAATGATCAGTTGTTTGTGAGCTTGGTAGTCTTGGGTGGTTTCGGGAATGGAAGTTGATAAATATATGGAGGAAAATTTCTGACGAATGAACAAGTTGTTGGGTTTTGCTACAAAGCTAATGGGCATGGCAATTGCCATATCTTTGATATTGTTATTTGTGGGTGTTGGAGTTGTGATCTTGATTTATGTTTGTATTGCTAGGAGGGCCTTTAGGAGAGGACTTGGTAACAGTAGTCTGGTTGGGAGGGGCGGCTTTGGAACCACAAGCATGTCTCAAAATGATCTAGAAAAGCTACCTTGCTTCGATTTCATTGCGAATTCTAGGGGAAGTAGTCCTGTTGATTGTGCAGTGTGTTTAGAGAACTTTAGGGTCGGCGATAAGTGTAAGTTATTGCCTTTATGCAAGCATAGTTTTCACGCAGAGTGTCTGGATTCATGGCTTTTGAGGACACCCAGTTGCCCAATCTGCAGGACTACTGCTGATTCTTGGAAGGGGGATTCAGTATCCGATGGTGAAAGCAGCTGTTCCAGTGAGATTGCGATCGAGTTGAGAGAGCACCAATCAACAGACAGCGGCCAGAATGTAATGGAGTTGAGAGAGGGCCAAACAGCAGAAAGTGGCCATTTGAATGATCTTGGAACAGAGCTGAGAGAGAGCCAAACCATAGAAAGCACTCATTTGGGTGATATTGAAACTGAACCAAGAGAGAACCAAACAGCTTTAGTTGGATCATAACTCCCCTATTACTTACTGCTTTGTAGGGCTTTTTTCAAAGAATGATTAGGACAGAGCATAGCCCATTAGAAGGACGACTCTTTAGAGGAGTCGAGTTCAAGGCATCAATAATCATCCTCTCCCAATTGAAAAAGGTTACATTACATACAATCTAAGGTTTAAAAAAGTTGTTCTTCTATGATGATGACATTGATTGCTTTAGTTCTTGAATCACAACATGTCTCCAATCTCTTTTGTCAATAACATCTTCACATAGCTTATCGTTAAAGTTCCATGGAGTTGGAGTCGTCGCTTACTGATCTTAATGACTGCTTCATCATCTTCGAACTTGTTCGTGCCCCATTTAGATGAGTCACTTCACTAACTTAAAAAGTAGTTAATAAAGTCAAAGCATAACAAAATAGATTGATTAGGTCATTCATTCACTACTGCAAATGCAGCGCAAAACCAAGGAGTTCATTTCATTAGTGTGTTTGTGTTCAATTTCCTCTCAAACTTTCAACAATAAACAATTATAAGAAACAGAATCAGCATTAGGGTTTGGCAAGTTAGGCTGCCATTCAAAAAGTACAGATTCTTTTTGATCACCGCCCCCCTTGAGCTTTTGGTAGATAAACGAAAAACCAAAAGGTTAGTAGGCCAGGATGGATCAAAAGGTTAGTATTTGTGTTAATCGAATCGTGTTATATTATTTTGAGTGGTAGCATATTCTTGTTTCATCATGATCAGGTCATTTTGACTCGTGTTGTATTGTTGTCAATATGTAATATTGATGAAAAATTGTTTAGTTTTATAACAATTTCTCCAATATTAGAGGAAGCTGCTCAAAAAAAAAAAAATATTAGAGGAAGAAATAAAATGCTCATTTTATTTTTACAATTCTAGCATACAAGCTAGGCGGGTTTTTTGTATCTAGTAATAACTCGACCCATGCGTTATTCTTGTTCATAGATCGTTTCATTTTCATATTCACTCCATCAAGTTCATATTTAAAGGCAAAAATTGTCACTCTAACATTTAGAGACCCAAGCCGCTTTGTGGAGGCCCTAATCTTTTAGTTGTTTGTATTGCGGCCCAAAAAATTAGGGCCTCTAGGCCTCAACCCATAGAGGCTTGGCAGTAGAATCTATATAGGCCTCAGCCCATTAATCAATGGGACACCATGAGTGCCGCATGACGTTACTACTCCGCGGCGTTGGAGGTTAACGCGAGCGAGATGTGAACTTGAAGGTGGGCAGGAAGGAGATATTAGATAATTATTGAAACATTAGGGGATGTTTAAGTAATTAATTAGTTAAGGACTGTCTCAGTTTAGAACAAGGAAAAATATGTCATTACCGAAATTTGAGGGGTGTTTTGGATCATTTAACAGGACAGCAAGAGCTGTTTGTCAATGGCACCTTCCACCATTGATAATGATAGATGAAGCCCAAAAGAAATGTAGAGCTTGCAAATACAAATATAATTTCATATAATTTTGTCAAAAAAAAAAAATAATAATAATAACATATTGCATAGTATCTCTATCTTTTACAATCTAAACTAATACGTATGATCGATTCGATCCTTTACAGATAGTTTTTATATGTATAATAGTCTTACATTTTAAGATTTGTGTACTATACCGAAAAATGAAAACAGAGGTTGCATCAATGGTGTCAATTATGTGCATCATTGACGAACTTATGCCCCTCCCCCGGACTTGGACCAGAATTCTTCATCCCTCGGAGAGCTAGAACTTCATCGTATGAATGACCCTTCCCCCTTTGGGTAGGATGTGGCTTTATCGGAACATGGTGACAATGCTCCTCTCCATCGAGGGGGCGAGCACGAATGGAAGCTAAAAGCAAGGCGAAGCTCAAGAAGAGAGCTAACAAGGCAAGGGCATGGTTGGGCTGTCTGG